ACACTCGCGACATATTGGATTTACTGTTGATATAACAAGTCGTTATGCAGCTAGTTTGAAAAATTTCATATTAACTTTCATTATATTGTGAAAGTTACTTTTCTCGCCGTATTACATAGTTTAATTCTATAGTAGTGTTGTATCAATATTTTAGATTATCACTATCGATGTATTATCTTATATTATTATTTTTGATGTCCAAGATTATAGACAAGAATATTTTTTATTTCCTCTCCTTGCATGATGTTCTTAGTTTGACTACAGAAAACATATAACCACCAGCACCTCCGTCGTCATCATCGGTCTATTAATATCGCCACTCCTGGGATACAAGCGTTACGTATGGATAGGGTTAGGTACGGAGAACGCGCCACCCAAAAAGCGAGCCCATTGCGGATTGGCGAGTGTTAAGATTGCAGGTGCATCCGGGATCAACGGCTTGAAATACCATCTTTTATTTCTTACTGGTCTTTGACAGTCGCTGGTCGAACGCATAAACGACTGCGCTATTGAGCTAGTTTGCAAAACATATTCATTATCATAATCAAAATCAGCCCTGTTACGTCCCTTCTGCAAGGGTTCAGGCCTTGCTTTTGGATGGTTAAGAAAGATGGACCATAAGCCTCCACGCTGTCCCATTTCGGAGAGTATTAACAACTACAAATGCAGCTGGAACCAACGTTGTAACGTCTATTCCGAAGGTGCATTAAGGATTACATTTTCCCAGTCCATCGATCCAATTCAGCGCTGGAATGACGTAAACCAGCGAAATTATGCTATAGGAATAATGTTAAATAGCACTGGAACGTTCGCACTGGATCATGACTGTATCCAGTGGATTCTAATGTGGGCTCGCGTATACATTATGTTTATATGATTACAAGTGATCAATAATAACTAACTACCTATACTTTTACTTCTGATAAAAAACAAAACTGCGATCATACAATACGACCAGGAGTGGTCGTTTCATATGCTTCAGAATAATATTGTTATTCCATCTTGATAACACTTTATTAGAATTCGTTAGTGTTAGATCTTTAATTATACGTACATATATTTGTTAGAATTATCGCTTGCCAAACCTACGCCAACGTGCAAAATGTCACTTTTTTATTGTGAACAGAAGGCTAATTTTGTTATTTTAAAATAGACATCTTCCTTTAAATTAGACATTTAAAAGATATTTATGAACATCGCGCTACAAATATTTGCGATGAGATCGAGACGGTCTTTTAAAAGATATTGAATAAACGATAACGTTGATGTAATGGAACATTGATAATTGGAATTGTAATAAAACGTTGGATGCAAATAACTTTGAAAGATAACTTTGAGAAATGTGAAATGAAAAAGTTAAATGCTAACTGAAATCTTTCGGCGGGCTTAGCTAAGATTTTATTATGTTTCTTTATCATTTATATAAACTTACTTATTTTCTTCGCCCTCCCCCCCTCTGTGGCTCCAGTTGTGATTCCGACAATTCCATCTTCACTCGACAGTTGTACTCCCACGGCCCCATTTGCTGCTCATTGGGTTTCCATTTGCTTGAACCGTTGCCAAAACGGGCCGGTAAACTGTTCCGTTCATTTTTTTTATCGTAAACTCCTTTTTATTCTTGATCGAGAAATATTTAATTCGTTTATCGTTTTGTGCTTACGTTGGACAAAACAAAATTGTGCTTAATTTTTTCTTTTGATTAACCCATTAATTTGGCCTAGCGGTACAAGTTACGGTCCTTACGTTTTTCACTTTCTCGAGGTCCATTACAGTTTTCATGCTCCCCGGTTTTTATGACTTCTGGCATCACTCTCCAATATCATGCGATCGATTCAATTAGGCAACTTTCGCAAGGGTCATTCACGGGATGGGTTACCGAAAAATTATTATCGCCAGCTACTCCATGCTTCGGAGGGCACGCCAAGCCGTTAGTCCCGGCTGCATTTGTTGATGATATTCCGTATTCTCCATTCCGCATTGGGGCTGCGTAGTGGGTCATAGCCCGTCCTCTTTAACCATCCATAAGGAAGGCCTGAGCCCCTGCATTGCTCAGACCTTCAGTACGGGCCTGAGAATGATGTTTTTAATATAGGGTTAAGTCATAACTGACTATATTGATATATACGAGTTTTATGTGGTAATACTAAATAAACCTGTCTGTTGTAGTTCACGCTTAGTGAACAAATTAAGCGCATTTCCATTCTGATATTTCAAATATGTTATATATTTTTCTTAATACAACTTCACGTTCAGAGGAGCGTAAAAAGGTTACTGGTTCACATCCATTGGGAATCGAGCGCTGTAATATTTTTATGAATTCCAAAATGTCTTGCTTGTTTATACGTAATTAAATCTCGCTACTCTCTTCACGGTTGACAACTTAGTAAAACAAGATCGCTCTCGTTAGTAAATCGATATTTATATATATTTTTATTACGCGATTTCGTTGGCGTGAATTATAAGCTATGTCATCTGTGTAATGTGTAGCAGCTGTATGTGAAAGAATTTTAAATCAGCCTATTAGTTTCAAATTTCCTCTTCATAATATTAGGACTATAAATATACAAGCAGATAGCACTGTGGCTACAAATCATGGTCTGCATTTTATGAAGGCCAGGTTAGATAATCACAGATTTTCTATTTCCGAAGTAATTCAAAATTTCCGAGTTCCTCCAGGTGTAGAAGGTTACCTATCTGTTTTACAAATATCATAATTTCTTTTGTAGTTTTCTAATTTCCAGAGATTTAAAAATAACGTACGCGTTATAACCGTACGCAGCTGGACTTGAATGAGCTGCCTTCGCTTACGGGTGAGTGGTTCGAGACGGTACCAGAGACTTAGTGGCACTGTCCAAAGTTAGAGAAAAACTTATGAGAATACTAGTTAGAATACCCTAGAGAACAATTTATTAGGATAAAAGAAGCCCGTATATTAATTATCTAGATATCAATTCAGAACCCGTTCAGTAGTTTTTGCGTGTTTTAAACATACATTCGTATGTACACATCTACACTAACTTTCGCATTTATTATACTAGTATGATTTACTTCAACTGTTTAGGACATATTACCTAGACTGACGAAAATACGCTCACTGGCAATGAATATTTGAGAAATACGACAACCACCTCATACCACTTAGATCTCAAGTAATTAATATTTAATAAGAGTATTTATTATACCCGTTAAACGAAAAGTTAGTGGTCTCTGTCCAGCATGTAGTGAGACAGCTTAATTTTAGAAAAGCAACCAGAAAAATGTTAATCATGGCAAATGAATAAATGGCTAAATAAAGTTCGTCAAAACACAACATAGTAAATCAAGCACTCAAGTCTTAATTTATTGTGTTGTCTTGTCATACAAGCCTATAACAATAAATAAAAACAATCAGAAAAACACGTTTGCGGTGTGGGAGCTCCTCTTAAATATCTATTTTATTTGTTGTTTTAGCGGCTACGTAATATATCTGTCACGGTTCATGAAATACATCCTGGTGATAGATATACCTTCAGTAAAGTTGTAGTAATAGGGTACCGTTTTTGCTCTTTGGGTACGGAACCCTAACAAAAATTTATCAAAAAATGTCAACACAACAAAATCAGAATATGGTGTTTATTCTGTTATCGTATCTAAAGCGGTTGACAGCAACACAAGTGTACTATAGTTCACAGCTGCAATCCCAACGTTGGAGCCAAAACAAAAATGCACCGAGTGAATATTTTATAAAATTGCATTTCTCTGCTTTTGCGTGCTACCGTGCCGGGTGCCGGGCAGGCGAGGCGGCGGAGTAGAAAATAAATAGGTAAATTATTCGAAAGCAAATGACATTTTCACAGCCCCGGTAAAAGGTGAAATATGCAGCTTATTTAGACGTTATGCTCGACTCTGTCTACTTTACAAGATGTGATAATAATATTTTAAATTTCAAAAAGATATTTTTATACTTACATAAATACAAATATTCAAATATAATAAAGATTTATGTTTTGTTTGAATTGAATTGACTATTGACAATTATAGACACATTTAAAAAAAATACCTGCGGTAAGCTATATCATACACGGTTGATATAGATTGACAAACAGTGGCTAAAAACCTACAAACTTTGGTGTACCTAAATTATATTTCACCAAATTTAATTAATAGAACCTGCAAACTAACTTAAAACTCATGAAAATAATTATTGCGTGTCTAAAGACTAATTAGATCAAAATAGAGAAACATTATTTTGATAAAATTGAATTTTAGATACTCATTTAATTAAGAAAAGAAGACGGTGAAGGTATAAATACATTTTTTCCAATAAACTAAACTCATATTATAAAGAGAAAAGATTCGATTGCTTGTTTGTGTGCATTGAATAAGCTCCAAAACTATTGGAACAATTTATAAAAGTCTTTCGTTTAGGGGAAGCTACACAATACGTGGGGGACATGGGCTATAAAATATGCAGACGAAGTCGTGCGGAAACAGCTAGTTAAATAGAAATTGGTTGACAATTTAAGAAGAAAACAATGAATATACCAAGGTGTTTTCATAAAAAATATACATACTCGTTGTACATAGAAAATCCTCCCTTCGGATTTTGAATGAATTCAAATTGGAAATCTTTTATTTTTAGCTGAAATAAACATATCATCTAAATATTTATGTATTATCTGATGAAAAGCGTATTTTAATTTTATTATAAAAGGAAAAATATTGATTCGATTTCGATAAAATTCAAGTCGGACCAACTCGATCCAATAAGCTGTCGAATAAATTTTTTTTTTTAATCGATCATCAATTGGCAGAAACATCAGTGAACATACATAAAACAAAACATACTATTGAAAGTATAACCTCTTCCTTTTCGATTTTGAAGTTGGTTAAAATAAGAGGTGTTACTGGAAAACTTTACCCTATGTCTTGTAGCCTTAAGGTTACTACCGTCGCTTTAATCACTTTAGCTATCTCAGGGGAATGAAAGAATACACTCATGTTATTATTATCTTTCGATTTTATTCTTTGTAAACAGTCTTATAATCGAGCGATAAGTTCACATCGGGTAAATGTAAACAATACTTCAATTTTGGCGGTCCTAAGCGAACAGAGATACACAGACTAATTTGAAATGATATCTACACCGTAATTTTTTTACAATGAACATTTTTATAACTTATGCTAATATTTACAAGAATTGAAACATGTAATTGAATTACGTTCCCAACTTTTAAAGCACGACAAAGATTTTTAACAATTTTTTTTATTTACAATCGATTGGGACAGCTACGTTGAATACAAACTGATCATCACTAAAAATATTAGCGTCCATTTTGTTTCTATGCTGTCTGAAGCACCTCCCTTTGCTGCTTCTGTGAGACCTATTTAAGAAAAAATGTTCTTATTATAATTTGTGACGTAGCTTATGTGTATCGAGGGGAGAAAATAGGAATAATGAACTATTAATAAAATAATTAAAGTTTTAATATACACATAACGTACTGACGACTTATAAGGCCCACTGACTAAAAAAATCCCGACTGAATTTTGTACTTATTAGGTGGATGGGGGGATGTAAATGAAACTTTTTTAAACGACAGTACTTTATTTTAATAAATATAAAACTACATTTGTAAATTATTAATGGGAATAGAAGTGATCTGATAGTAGGTTAACCGTGAACAAGTTACTCGGTTCAGATACCTTAGTAAAAATTTGTTACCTTTAACCTTCGGGCTATTTCAAAAGCTGACGCCATTGCCAACATATAGCGTATTTACCTCACTTCTTTGTTTCTAAGTTAAAATTTTGAATATATATAGTGCTTTTTAAAGTAATCTTAACTTAGTGATTTCTGAACAGTTTTGCTTAATGATGTAATGATAAAATCTACTAACATTTTTATATATGAAAACCAATCCAAGAAAGTTCAACTGATTAGTCTTGAGAATCGAACTATTTAAAAATGTAAAGACTTGAGGGGACGCAAAAATTCATTGCGAAATATAAACACAAGTTTTCAAGTAGAAAAAATAAACTTTCTTACCTCCAGCGACACTGATTTGATTACTAAAGTCCTCGGAGTAAGAGTTGAGCTTTATTTCTGGAAAATTAAACAGTTCATTAGAAATAAAATATATTTACAGACCACAGTCATGACGAGAATTTCGAGTAAATAAATATTTATTGTTATTTACACAACAGTGAATATGTATTTTTCTATCGCGCAGTCAAATCATGTCCAATTCAAATAAACGAAATTTCCAAGAACAAACATTTTAGTAATAATACATGAAGACTAAGTATATATCACGGTATCAGAGCAATATAAGTGATATTGTCTCATCACACCACCAGCCCTTTTACGTCCCCACTGTACAGACTAAAGTAGTTCGGTGGCGTAGTGGATAAGCGACGCGGCCCGCGATCGTAGTCGTTAAGCATCTTTCACAAGGGTCGGTCACGGGATGGGTGACCAAAAAATTATTATCTCGAGCTACTCCGTGCCTCGGAAGGCACGTTAAGCCGTTGGTCCCGGCTGCATTTGCAGTCGTTAATACCCTCTAATCCGCATTGGGCCAGCGTGGAGGGTCATGGCCCATCCTACTTAACCATCCATAAGGAAGGCCTGAGCCCGTGCAGTGGGGACGTAAAAGGGCTGGTGGTTGTGTGACATTAAATTACAATCGCGTTTTTGAAATTTATTAATTTTCACGAAGCAAGTCGTCATGACAACTATAAACTTCTGAATAAATGTACATTAAACTTAGTGTTTATATACCAATTACTTATCTTAAAGTTATCTATCGTTCTTACGAACCAACTGAATAGAATCCATTACGCGATACGCTTGTTCAAATATCTATTAATCCTTATTTAAACTGTGAATTTATTTGAGCAAGGCTTAATTTAGAATACAAATATTTGTATATTACATTATTTAATTAAAGCAAAATAAATTTATATTTTAAAAGACTATGTAATTTTATTTATGGAAAGGACTTAATATTTTAATAAAGTTATTTTTCAATCTTGACGCTCTGTATGAAATAAAACAGGGAAAAAAAAACAGCCCTTGCGGAGTTTCTTGCCGGTTCTTATCGGTACAAGGTCTCCCGCCGTAGATTTACGAACCGATGGCGTGGCCCTCGACTTTCAAAAGTACTTGTAACAGCCTAGACTGAATAAATAATTTTGATTGATTGATTTTACTAATTGATTTCTATATAAGTCACAAATGAAACTATGTGTTATTATTATTTTTATCGTTTTCTATATCCTTGAGTATTAAAAAGAAAACGAGCTCTCTAGCCCCACATAACTCATTATATTTTATGTTATTACAGAGACTACAAACTGGAGTTCTATTTTTGAGTCATACAATTTTCGTCCGGCGCTCGCTCACCATTAATTTGCATTGGACATAAGAAATTCACAACTTTATGTTTCCCTCGACTGCAGACTGCAATGTATCAATCACTCACTGCTAGACTATTGACGCCGAAGCGAATGATAGAGTTAATGTCAAAGTCAAATTTAAACTTTTCAAATATACTATATGTTTATTCTGTTTCACGCACACAATCTGTCAATATTCGATGTTCGAGAAAAAATTAAGCTCTTGAGATTTTTTAGAATAACCACATCAGTTAAAACATATTTTCCATTAAAAAAAAACTATGTTTTTTTGTATTTTCATTTTTATATTTTCTGCAATTTATAAGTGCAGAAACACAGTATCATGCGTCATAAAATCATAAAAATAAATTTAGTCCCAGTTAGCTTGAAGATTTATAAGCGAGTGATTCAAAAATAGAGCTACTAACATAATATAAGTATGTCTTTTATAACGTTTATTATGTCTCTAGAGTAAAACCTAAGATTTAGCAACTTTTTTGTATTTACTGTAGTACAGGCTTTTACAATCACCGCTTTCCCTATGAGAACGGTTTAAAATCTATTTCACAGATACTTAACGTATTGTTGAATTGACAATATCTTACCATAAAGCCTCAACGTTCCTTCGCTCTTCCCTAGGGAGTTTGTACTGACGCAATTGTAAGTACCGATGTCACTCTTGGAGAACTGTCTGATCGTCAGCCACATTGATACTTTATACGAAGATTTCTCCTCCCTAATTGTGTACTTTGGTCTGCAAAAAACACTTTGTTTAAATTAACATAGAAGTTTGTTTTTATTAAACTATTATAAACTCTTAAAATAAAGTAAACCGGATATGAAAAAAAAACATCTTTAGTAAGATACAAACAGGCGCCGGAGCCACATCAGATAATCCAAATTAAGATCATACTATTTAGAAAACTAGCAACCCATACAATCAAAACACCATCCTATAACTTGGTACTAATAATATTTTGTGTTTGTGTCAATAATTGTGTCAATAATTACCATAAATACTGATCCTATTATGAAAATCATTTCACCTACGCGAAGCTACATCATACGCGGGTGACATGGTCTATATTTTACGCGGATGAAGTTGCAGGAAAACAATTTCATTTAACTTCTAACAATGGATCGCCTGGTTCGTATATTTTCCGAAACGCATACATGACTGCAAAGAAACGCATTCCTCGAAAATTTATGAAACAACGATGGTCGGTTCTCTTTGATTCACAAATAATTTTCATGGATATGATTTTAACCAGACTGCAAGACGTTTGAGTTTTGAGAGTGCGCCTCTGTGAAGTGTGTGTAGTGGATGGTATACTACACTTTTTGTTATATCGAAGCAAACAATCACGTATGCTGACGACGGCTGTATACTTATACTTGATGGGAATTCACTCACATTGGTATAATTAAATTATTTTTTGACCAGCATTTCATACAGTTTCTTTATGATTTTAATAGAAATATTCCTTTCATATTACCTTATAAGTAATTTAATTTTAGACAATTAAAAGTAACAAATTCCACTGAAAACAACAATGCCGAGCGAGAGAAATTCACTAGAATTTACAATTATTATTTTTTTACAAATTAAATAATATAAGGTCTGTTGTTTGATGTTCAGCTGGAGTACGATCTTTTTTTCATAAGTAATTAATTCTACTTCTTATTTGGTTGAAGAAATTCTTCCTTAATATTACCTACTTACTACGCTATGGATATAATAAAATTAATTATTTAATTATCCCAAGTTAATGTTGTTTTTCTTTAAATAATATCTTTAAACGTGCCTAAGAAATATTTGTTCAGATAGACGAAAGAAATTTATTATACAACTATATATTTTCACCAACACAAAAGCATATTGTTAGTCTAAAAAATAATTTGAAGTATACATACATCAAAAAGCTTATAAACAATAATGGCTTCTTTTTAATGACGATCAAAAATAATGTAATAATAATGAATTTTTAAGTTAACTTGTTTATTTTCGTATATATAAGAAAATGATAGACGGAAAGAACACGAAGAATTCAATACCGAAGCTATGATAGTTAAGAAATTCAATTTATTAACAACATATCAAAAATGAGACGCGATCGGTCATTCTCAAAATTATATTTTCAAAGTAAACAGTTCTGTGTCAAACGAAATATACTGATAGACAATAAAACTAGGCCACTACTATTTTTATTTATTATTTATTATTTTCTTTATTTTTAGTTTTTCTTGTTTATCGGTCAATAAATAAATTAAAGATGCACCTTCTTGTATCATTACGTCTCACAATCGCACCTCGATTGGGACCCGAAAATGTGCTACTTGCGCAGTTGACATTTAAGTTCAACTCACGAACGCCGCAACATACTAGTGATTAGAAATTTATTTATATGAAAACTTCTTTAAAAAATTCAACCGCCTGAGGTGTCTATCACATACTAATCTAATCTTAGGAAAAAATAATAGCAAATAACTTAATTTTCTGTATTGACCCAACCCGGAACTAAATCGTCAAATCCATGAAAGCAATTCCTTCACAAAGGGGTAGTTATATCTTAAAGTTTATTATAAAGTGACTTCAATATTTAGTATTCGCTAAAAATTGAATATATTTATTAAAATAATTAATTATACATCGTAAATCATAATGGATATCTTTTATAATTTCATAAATCCACGTTTTTACTTAGTTTAAGAAATAAAACCTACATTTTGTATTACAATTGAATATGGGTGGATTTCATTTCTTTTGATGATCATCAATAAAACTTTAAAAGCACTCAAAAGAACTCAAATCTGTATATATCATACGTTTAAAGGAATGTCATCAGTATCCTTGTACCCATACCTTCGGTAACGAGGATCGCAAATAACTTTACGGTTTACACAAACGGAACAACCAGAAGAGAAGAACAAACATTAACTCCTGCTTATCTTCAGCAAACTTGTATTAGTTGAACTTTACGCTCCTTTACGGAAGAGTTACATGTACTAATAAATTTATGCTACTTCGTATTTACTTATTGTCTTGTTTTACGAGTGGAACTTTGATAGAAATTAATGTGATTTAAGAACTCGATGGACTATGAAACGGAGGTTAAAGCAACATAGGGTAGAGCAAAAATTATCAAAAATTTGTTATCTTGAGCTTTTCCGTGCTTTGGAAGGCACGTGAAACATGTAAGACTCACACTGTATTCGACGCTGTATTTTACAGAATACTAAAGAAGATTACATGAGCTTATTAAAAATTATAAAGTATTGGATATTTATAACTTGTATATAAAATTCAAAATATACTGTTCAAAAAATATATTTTAACAACAATATGTTACATGTTAGTCCAATCACTTGGAAAGGATAAGAAATATATAAAACTAGAAATAAAAATAAACACGCCCGAGAAACGGCTCTAGAATTATTATTTTCAGCATTCGATACCACCGACGCAAAATGTTGGAGCAGTGTTTTTAAGGAAAACATGAGTATTGATCCACTGTTACATAATTCACTTTCTTACTTAATTCACTTTTGAATACACCGATTAGTTTTACTATATCTGAGATTACCTTTTTAAAAAAATATGTTACGACCTTAAATTTCTAAATATTTATCCAAGATTAGGTGAGAATGGAATTTATACCTACAATGACCTTTTACTCAGTTTTCAGTTAAATAAAACATTTATTTCCTTTTTAAAGTCACTTTTATATCATGTAACCTCTTAACACAGCGTTGTGCTCGTCGTTACTTTCGAAGATGTTTTTTTACAAAATAGCAATGGTACTATGTCCTGTTACTTACATCCAATAGAATAATGAGGTTTTTGTTTTTATATTTTCAGACTGAATTCACAAAGTTTAATTTGTGAAATTTATTTAAAATAACATAAAAGTAATTATAAAGGATTATTTTTTCTTTGTATATATTTAATAAATAGACTATCATAAACAAATACATATTTAAATGGAATTTATAGACCTAAAAACATATATTTAAAAATGATCCAAATTATTACAAATCTAGAAATTATATCGCTATTAACTGCGTTTATAGAAAGTTAAAAACGGAAGTAGTTTTGTCTTTTGTAATTTTTTTACTTTTATGCAATCACATCACTATTGTGAGCGTAATGTACACACAGCATTATATCAATTTACTACAGAAAACCAAACCAAAATCGATAAAGAAAAACTTTTTGTAATAACCTTATCTGATGTCAACTATACATATACAGGTGAACGATATGTGTATAAATACATTAAATATGGAAATTGTGTTTACTTTCATAATACACCACCGAAACTAAATCGAAGCAACATCAGACACAATGATATCACCAAAAAGTCGAACGTCATTGCTCATAAATTTATTTATCAAATTAAATAAGTCTCACCCGTCGAGGAGCATCTCCCCTCTATTCTTGATCCAGTAATTGATCGTGTTGGGGTATGCTTCCACGTAACACTTGAGTTTCACGTCTGTGCCTAGAGGGGCGCCGAGCAACTGATTTGGCACTTTCACCGTTGGAGCAACTGTGGGGCAAACAAAGGAGCATCACGGTGACTCGCTTGAAAATTTCGTAAGAAGAGTTATGAACTTTGAGTTCGGGGGATACAGGTCTATCAAGAATTGATAGGCTTTGAATATTTTGCTGTTTCAAACGATCAACCACATCCTTTTGCTTTTTAAAACTGGCTAGTCACCAACTTGTCTTAAACAATAGCTAACATTAAGAAAAACATGAAATATTATCAGACATAAGCTTTTACAATGTTACTTTTCCAAGATGAATGCCACAAATGACGTATTTTACTTATGCAAATTAAAGCCTTACGCTACTAGACTTTTATCTTCGATGCCTTCAATTTCAGAATATGATATAAATAAGTAAAAAATTTCCAATATATGCAACTAAAACTAAAAGAAACTCTAATTATTATTTTTTTACGATATCTCTGTCGAGTTTTAGTAGCTTTCCACCACTATCATCCATCTACTTTGTACGCATCGGACGCACGGTACGCAATGGACAAGATTAAACTTCATCGGCACGCATCACGTTCTGTTTGCTCATATAATGCGTACGGTTGGTGCGGCCAGCACTGACTGTGGTCGTAGTTGCTATACCAATTCATACAAAGCTATGAAAAATCAGTTGCGTGCCGTGTACCTCAATGGATGCGAGCGTGCAGGCACAGTGGACGATTAAATTAGTTAAGAATAATAACAATAGAAACTCAAAGGTTCTGGAAATTATTTTTTATAATTTCTACACAACAGAAACCTTTATAAAGGTCAGCATTGTGTCCGTAAATGACAATTAAATTATTCGTTACTTTAAAAACAATCAAATTATCGCTGAAGCAAAGGATAATCCGATTAGCTATATCGGTTGAAGTCACGTTAACGCAGACTTTCATCTCGTTTAAAGCTTCTAGAGTCGTGAGGAGTTGGTGGCTCAGAGGATTATATTACAGTTCAGTGTAATACACAGTTTAGAATTCACAAATCAGACAGTTGCTGTAATTATAATCCTTGTTCTATTTTTAACATACTTTATGGAAATGAAGTTTCACAACAATGATATTTATCCCTCAACGAATTACTTGTGTAGTATAGTTTGTATCCAGTTTATGTTTAAATTTATTTATTCAGATTTATCCAAGTATTTATACATATATATTAAATGTTTGTGGTAATTGCAAAAATCAAACCACAAGAGATAGAAATATAAAATACAGAAATATTAACTCTAGATCCAGAATTACATTTTGATATGTATTTAAGAAACGATTGTTATAATACTTATAATCATAACTTGTGATTTCATATATTAATGAACAAGATAATACTTCTAGAGAGATATTTAGTCACTCTTTTCATTTATTGATAATATAAAAATGTAACCATTTAAAATCTTACAGTTAACTAGAAGTATGATCCGCTTGCTGACAGCGGGCGGCACGTCATTAGATGCAATGCAGAGGAATGCGCCCATTTGCCGTCTGTCCACTCGCCACAGCGGCAGCGAGCTGCCGACGTAACTCTCAACTGTGAAAAACAAAAGAAAATATTACTGGGAGCGACTGCACAGTTACTTGACCATAAACATGGGCAGGAATTATCTTGATAAATGCACTGACGGTCCGAGATGAAATCTATATTATTCTTAAACACTGATGGCTCGTGATCCGCTCTTGCCATCCAAGTATTTTTTACTAAAATTTATCCCTTGCCACGCAATTTGTGATATGCTGAATAAGATCAAGCTTTAATAGACTTGTTTTTATCTATAAATGTATTAAAATCAAATCCAAATTTTAATGGTTTATTCAGTCTAGACTGTTAACAAGCATTTATGAAACCTGAAAGCAATTTCATCGGTTTTCAAATCTGAGTTATTTTAATGACGTCTATGTAAATTTTATTGTACAGTAAGGCACAGAACAAATCTCACAAGGTTTATTTTTAGGACCCCTATTGAATATCGATTTGTATAGATTTGTAATAACATATTTACCAAATATTAGCGACAAGTAAATGGTTCTAAGAAATACTCTCAATGTGACTAATTACTTTACTTATATATAAATCTAATTCCTTATAATTACTTACATATTTCCAGAATATAGTTAAATATTATGGAGAAAAATGTGACCTTCTTATTTCTGATATTGAAGTTAGCAGCAGTTGAAGTACCTAAAAGTTTTCTCGAGATAGCTTATACATAATAATAATCTTCTACATAACGACTCTATTTCTTAGTACGTGCCGTGTATAATATGATAACTTCGGCGAAGATAATCCTCAAATTGTGAATAAGAAGCAGACGTTCTATCGATTTATTAGTTCAATTTTGTCTAATATTGCATTGAAAATGTATTAAAGTTTCATAGTATATACACAAGACACTATTACGGAAACATCATCAAAAGCCAATGGCTGCTTTTTATGAAACTGTAATTTATAGTATAATAATGCCAACGTTTCTAGATCATATCTATTTTATTATCAATAAAAATGGCAGCACGGATGAAGAGTGAAATTTAGCTGCAGTAGACGCAAATAAAAATCACAAAGCGATATGACCTATATTTGTATTCCGATCCATATGAAAAATCATCCTAACAATATTGATGTACTGCTATTCTATTCCATCCAGTTATATTCATGAGTATAATTAGTCAGAAAACCGAACAGTGGGGTAGGAAATATACAACTCCACCAAAAAGAAACTGACTATAACAATTACTTTAAATGATGATGGAAAGTGAAAAAAAACCTTTACAGTGTTATTACAAAAGAGATGTTAGACAGGGTTTTACCATGTGTTTAAGTAAACAATGTCTAAGAATATAAACCCTGTTTAAAATGATGTTTAACTTTGTCTATTACAAATCCATTTTTAGTCGTAGTCTAACTAACGCTGATTTAAACATGCAACCCGTAAAGCATTCGTTCAGTTGGCTTTCATTCGTTCATACACGTTCCATTATATGCACATCATACAGACTTATGATAAATTCTAATCGTAAAAAGATATGTTCAATAACGTATTAGCTAATAACTTTCAAAAGTAAAAAAGAAAGTACAAAATTAACGTTTTTAAACTGGCACTTCTATTCATAATTCATATTAGAGTAAGGTTAAGTAAAACTATAGCGAAATATTATGAAGAAACGGAACAACGACTACCTGATGCCGAACCCAACGCCGCACATGTTCACAAGCTGTGTACTGACACAGAAGCTATGCACACATGCACATGCTACGTGTATTTATTTGCAGATCTATACTTTCATCTCGAGGATTATGTGGAATATCGCCTTAAATAATTTCATATATTTTGTCAGCAAACAATCCACTAAATATGTACTTTCTTTTATATCAAAGTTCATTGTATTGCTCAAATGGATTAATTCGCGTTCGCTTTACTTACGCGTCCTAAAAGCTTTCCATGTAATCTAAATCGACCATATCAATATAACCTTTATCTTAAAAATATGGATGAATTTTCAACAAAGACGCAACCTATTTTGAGGTTAGACACGCGTTAAACAACTCTCAACGAGTGTTTATATTTTAAACAATGTTTAAGGGATGTTTAGCCTTAAACAGTGCCTAAATACGATTTTGTAATAGAATTTTTTTAAACACGTGTTCAACGCGTGTTTATCTTTTTTGTAATAACACTGTTACAGTTTCATCTACTCATTGTAGTGATTTAGCTTCTTTTGAATGTTAGCAATGTCGATGTGAAGTGGTCAAATTTTTGCTATTATTATAGCAGATTTCCCATTCTCATATTGCGTTAAGTAAACTTAAGTTTCTATATGTTCCATCAAATCGCAAAAAATAAAGATGATTCTCCATTTTTATGACATAGTACTTATAATTTTGAACAAAACAGCTATTATTATATTTAGGGTTATTTTCGAAATTTTATTTCCACTGATTAATTTTAGAAACACGATAAATGATTCAAGTTCTGTTATCGTGAATACAGCAAAGTTATTGTTAACCTAAAGTATCATAAAGTATTAATCGATATAAATGATTTTGCATTAAAAGTGTATCGTTTAATTTTAGATGCATATAAAAGATTTGCGATAAGAAACAAGTTGTTTTCCGATATTTTGAAATCTGAATACTTTTTTAGTATTTTAATAAAATATTATATAATTTTAAATATATAAACTACACAAATCACTTTTTTATATACGTTACACGTAAAAGAGTTCTTTCAATGTGAAACGAACTAAACTCTGTCATCAGTTTGGTTTGAAGAAATATAATTATTATATAATTTATAGTGTATAACTAAGCAGATGCTTCAAATAAAAAATAGACCATCATAACAATGCACTATTTTATATAACACTCAAATGAGCACTTTTTAAAGTGGAACTATTTCAGTTATAAAGCGGTGAAGTTAAACCCCTGCCACACTAAATGCTTACAACTTTTGTTCATGCATTATGTCTCCATTATGCCCAGTAATTATCTATTCCGTTTCGCTGTACGACGGTAGCTCATTTCTGTCTAAATTAAGAAAGGGTATAATATCTTTGCGCCCCCAAAGGCTCTGCAGAGGTCTTAGAGTGGGCTATGAGCCGTATCCTCGTCACACATAAGTAGGCAAGCCCATTTTTAATTTTATCTTTTAATTCTTTATCATGGATATTATTATTTTATTTGTACATGTTTTACGACTATATTAATTAGTGATTTTGCAACATAAGATAATGATTCTGCTACGAATAACATTAATGCACCTAGACCCTTCTCCTTTTTTAAATCAACACTTTTCGTTTTCACTTCACTCCGTAGGAATGTATTCAGGATAAAAATTAATGCCAATTATATTTCACAATATGACTTTATTTAACACAATAAATTTACTAAAATATTCGAACTACAAAATTCACACTTATACTTTAATATTTCACTAATAACACTTCACAACACTATCAGCCCTGCGATTCTGTAAAAACCAGACCCGAATTCAAATTCACTCAGGTGTCCGAAGTTACTTCAAAAAGCGGCATCCGCTCAACTTTTAACATTTCATGGCATAAGTGAGTTTCGAAATGACATAGGATAAGAATATCTGAGACATGTATATTCAACCAATTTTGTTTGCTATTTTTATACACAAAATGGAATCAATAGAATTTCTACACTCAATGACGTGAATTCGTACATATTAGTGAATTCGTAATTGGGTCTGGATTTTTGCAGAATCGCAGGGCTGATCGTTCACCGCTCTAATTATCGCTTCCGATCGCTTTTGCTTTCAGATCGTTTGTTCACTGAAGAATCCCGGGACGGGTACCTAGAACATTCTAGGTGTTTCCTCAGCCCTACCGGTGTATTAGAGGCATTATCAAAAAGTTCTAGAACAGCTACCCGTCCCATTCTTCCCCAGTGATTTTCCTTTTCTCACTGATCCGATGTATGCCTGTATGACACAGGTAGTTTCACAGTGTTTCATTGGCGCATAAAGCCATTTATTAATGCGTAGACGAACCACGCCGCTGCGCTCCGTAAGAGTATTTTACATACGTTGCGACGTACGTCGTAGAATAATGGATTATTGATTTGGAGATATAATTTCATAAAAACTTTTTATTCTTCTTCCATAACTACTCTTCATCTTTAGCTTGTGTGTAATCAATAAAACTATAACGTCTATAAGCAGAACATGGACAAATAGAATACATTAATTTAACCAACATAAACTCCTTTTTTTTAATCTGTGACGATTTTATCAGAATAACAGCTATAAAATCACAAAAGTGTATTTTAATGCTTCAAAATATATAAGACTAATTGAGCCTAGCTCTCGGTGTGTTATAATGTATTGTGAAGGTGTGAAAGCTTGAGAACCTCCGCGGTCCCAAACTCCCCAGCCTACCAATTTGTAAGCACACCTGTGACTCGACATAAGGGTTTTAGGACCAAGGTGAGATGGGGTGGGGGGGTTAAAAAGTACGGCTTTAATTAACACGATCCCATTTCGTTGGCATATGTACGAGTATATTAATGTAATGAGCTGTAATTTACTTCTGTACGAAATAGCTTAATGTGAGTTTGAGACACTTTTTATTCTTGTTTTTTTAGTAATCAGGACTTCCTCGATAATTAGTGATGTCATTACCGTGATAACTTAAATCGACTCAGTACCTTGCCATCAGATTTGAATTTTTATAATCTTACTTATAAAGAAAAGGAGGTATTATTATTTATTATTATGTTTGATCAATTTTGAATTAGTTATGCTATATTGATAGATACATATCAATATAGCATAACTTATTTAAAATTGATATAAAGAGAATTGCTTAATAATTCATTATTGCGCGAGTTTTTGCTAAACAAAGCTACTTTAAAAAAGCGTACATTGTGTTTTAAAAATTCATCAGTTCCGTTAGGTTTCGGGTAACTCAAGGGTTAAAGCAGTCACCCGGATTCCGAAAGGTTGTTTTCGTATCGGGTTCCTGTCTAAAGTCATGACTAATATTTTTCTTTCGAAATTTTCTTTAAGATAAATTATTAAATGTTACGAATTACGTTAATACATAATTATTTATACAGTAACGTAAAAATAACCATAATTTTATAAAACATATATTATTAGTGTTTTGTATTCCATTACTTTCTGTATTTAGTAAAATCCTTTTTATAGTGTGAATGTAATAATTTAAGTCCTTTGAAAAATATTTTGACAATTTTTTTTGTATCACTAATAATTTTTTTATAATTGTTACCTTCTACTTTAATTTTATAGTTTTCAGATTTTAAAAAAATTACTAGTGATGTTTTTACTTATTTTTCAAATCTAATATTTTGTATAATATTCACTCCGCATAATGAAATATTGTAAATAGTGGGGAAAAAGTTTATTTGCTTTTAATATGAAAATTCAAAACATTTTATAATAAAGTTTATTTACATTTAACTAAAGTATGTAGATACTATTATGTTCGATAACTTTTTGCTATCTTGTAGGTAGCGACATGATATCATTGCTATCGAAATTTCCTTCCGTCCTTCCGGGCTTCCGATCAAAAAACCTCGACAAATGGTCATGGCAGTCCTCCGGTAATGTTAACCTGACTCTGCCTAAAGAATTTTGAAGAGACCGAAGCTGATTGATATCTGACGGTACAAGGTTAGGACTATACGGCGGATGCATTAACACCTCCCAATCAAACTCTCTTAATTTTTACTGAGTGGTAAATATGTGTGAGGTCTAGCCTTATTATGATGAAAAATCACAACCCTTCTATTGATTAATTCTGGCCGATTTCTCTCAATTTCTTGCTTTAATCTGCAGTTTGTTTTTTTTTATCAGTTGTTCGCAGTAGAGTTCAGAATCGATGGTCTTGCCTGGCGGTAACAGCTCATTATTAACAATGCCCTTCCAATCCCACCATACACACAGAATCACCTTGTTGTGAGTTAATCCGGGTTTCGTCACAGTCTGTGAACCCTGACCGAACTTTGACCATGACCTTTTTAGCACGTTCTTGTCGACGTGATCAACTTGTCAGCATCAGTTATCAGTTTCTTACAAAATCGTTTAGTTTCATTACGTCACACTAAAGAATCACAAATGAGTACATGGTTCATTAGGTTTCTTTCAGTGAGCTCGTGAGGCAAATATCCAACTTTTTTTATGTACCCAGCTTTTTTCAAATTGGCCAAAACTATTTTATAGTAAAAAAAATCAATTAGTTTCGTTACGCCATACTAAAGAATCACAAATGTGTACATGGTTCATTAGGTTTCTTTCAGTGAGCACGTGAGGTATCCAAATATCCAACTTTTTTATGTACCCAGCTTTTTTCAAATGCGCCAAAACTGTTTTATAGTCAATTCCCAGTTCTTTAATTACTGATATGCCGAACTTGCTCCACTTTTTCAATAATGATATCCATTATATCCGTAACAGGGCCATCGGAGTGACGTGTAACTTTGACATCAAAATTTCCGGACTAAAAACGGTTAAGCCAAATTTGTGCTACTCTCACAGGAATAAGGTTTCTCAAACTTTTAAGCAAGGAACGCCCGCCTTTTGCTTACGAAATCCTAAATCACATGATTGTCAATAAAAAAGAAAATAATTTATATCTCAAAAATATTACACTGCAAAAAGGTTATTTTTAAATTTTACTTTTAATGTGAAGAATGAAATTGATTCCCACTCATTCCCTACATGCCAAGTAATGAGCCCTAAAAATAACGATTTCCCGAAACACTGATAAATTTTCATGGAATTTTTATTATAACCCATACAAGGAACCACAGCTGGACTAAAAATATTCTTGTGAAAAATAAAAAAAAACTGGCCAAGTGTCGGACTGGGCAACGAAGCCGTACCATTATCTATAAAAATGGCAATAAAATCACGTATTTTGTATGGGAGCCCTCATAAATATTCTTTTTCCACAGATCGGTGGCAACTGAAAAACATCATCTGTGTAAATTTCAACTGTGTTATTATCACGGTTTATAAGATACTGCCTTGTGACAGATTGACAAATAGACCGAGGATAGACGAACGGACAGCGAAATCTTATTAATAGGAAAATTAAAACGAAATCGTTTTAATGTTCCGTAAAACGGGGTGGAATATTAAAAATGTCCCCAAAATTATTATAATAATTACCTTTATCAAACTCTCGAGACAATGGTTTCTTCAGGAGTATAGGTTCATGGTCTTCCCTCCTCCATGTTATTTTGGGTGGTGGATGACCAGTCGCTTTGCAGGTCAACGTTGCGTTCTCCAGCTCTTGGACTGAGACATCTGATGAGGTGTCATCGCTGACTATGTCCGGTGGAACTGTGAACAAATGAAACATGAGATCAAGAATTATAAATAAATAAAAAAACATGATCGACACATACATAAGACGTTATGTCCTCCGTAGCTGAGTGGTACTTTAATTCCCGTTCGGGTCAATGTAGAAAATTAAGCGTTCTGTATCGTCTCAAGCCTGGATGTTGAGATACCTTCGTTGTCTCAAAGGCTCCATAGTACGAAAGCTTTAGCCTATGTTCTTAGAATTTGAGCAATGTATCTATGTGATGTTGACTAATATATATTTTTAATTTGTTGTAAAGAGGCCTTCAAAATAAGCAACAATCATGATATATGATTAATTTATAAATAATTAAAAGACAAAAGGAAACAATCAGGACTAACATTATAAATCAACAATTATAACTTTAAAAAAATAGAACCGACTTCAATTGCATATTTTTGAATAAGTTACTTATTCAAGAATAAGCAATTGTAGTCGGGCGGGCGGAGGTCGAGGCCACTGTATAGTATAAGTTATTAAATAAATAATAGGCACTCGAATTCATCAGCATTTTCTTGAATAAGTAGTTACTTATAATATTATTTATAATTTTTTTGAAGTTTGAAGTCGGTTCAACTTTTATTAATAGATTTTATTTCATGCTTTTTAGTGAAAATTATATTTTTTTTAGTAATAGGTAACACTTGTACTTGTTACAAGTACTTGGCAAACGCATAGGTACATTACGGTAAAATAATCTTACATTAAACAAAATCTACCTGTTATCTATATTATGATGCGGTGTGCATTTATTACGTATCCTAAATCTATAAAAAGGTTTTATAGCTGCTCCCACTGAAATACTGGTCTAATCGAGTTGGTCTAAGTTGATTTCATATTTTTTTAAGGTAGAAGAATAACGTTGCAAGACTTGCGAATTTTTGTACATGTTATGTTTTTGATGGGCACTTTTTGTAACATATTTTTTTTAAATACATTTACAGTTTTTACAAGTTACACTCATATATTGACGCATTCCTAGTTTTAATTTTACAGGAAAGTTGTATCTTTCCTCAGATTTCCTTTAGAGTTCGTTAGCTCTATTATCGATATAATAACTATATTTTTAACTAGCTTTTGCCCGCGACTTCGTCCGCATGATATAGTTACTTTGGTCAGCATATATTTTTCAAAAACGCTGTTTTTTTCGAATTGGTGATGAAATTTCCTTGATCTTAAGTTCGAAGATACTTACTACAACAAAAAAAAACAACAAATATCCAATCTATTTTAGCACTTTATCTTTGAAAACTTAAGAGATATTAATCCAATCCTATGCAATTTGAAATTTTTATATATGATCACTTACTCTTAGCCACATCATGAAGAAGTCATACTATCAGCCGCCCATATCGTTAAACGCAAATCATTCATTGATCTGGCCAGGCCACATCATGATGTGGGCAGCAAGATTTTTCCATTTCATAAAATACAAACATTTTATGAAATGGCTGGCTGCATCATGAATTGGTCAATTCTACGATCTGGCCACGACATTTGTACTTGGAAATCCATACTAAGGTGCTTACATAATATGAATGAACAATGATTGTGAAAATTATCAACTTGAAAATCTTAGGTTAAGACCTAGCAATACTTATCCTCAATATATTAATTATTGATGGAATGAAAAATACAAATAATTGCAATTTTTTTAATCTAAACTGGGAACATTTTAATGTTTTTGATTTAAAGCCTGCGCAAAGTTCTTTGATCAGTATAATAGCGCGATTTAGAATATACTCGCCATCAGCTGACTGAAAAGTTATTCTAGGTAAATTTTCTAGGCAAAAAAAATTGCGATTTAGAATTCATTGAACGCCATCTAGTGCAGTTCATATATATACAATAGAAAAATATTTTTTCTTTCGTTAAAAAAATTACTTGAATTTGATCATTTTTATCCATTACAATTTCAAAAATGTAATATACAGCGTGTTTGGTAATACCTGTATAATCCCGAAACATGGCCATACAACCTAGCACAAAGAACACAACTGATAGGTCAAAAAACAATTTCATGTAAATTGATATTTTCATACAAATATTTGAACAATTTGTTTTCAATTACTATGCTACAACCCTGTAAGCTTACACGTGCCGTCCCGGCGCACTCGCTCTTTCTCTCTCTCTCTCTCATTACCTCTCACTCTCTCGTTTCCTTGAATACATTTTGATGTTGCCGACGCGCGCACTCGACTACGTATGAGTTTACTTGTAATTAAAACAATTTAAGATTAAATAGGTACATACCTACAGCGTTCTAATCACTCTTTCAGCTTTCACTTGTCAACATTACCTACACTTCACCTCCACTTTATCAGTCCAGGGTCTCGATATGCCGGCCACCGCATAAAACACACATCTCCATTCGACTCGACACAGACCGTGTCGTGTTACTCTCGACGTAAAGTCATATCCTCTGTCTCGATGGAATAGGTGATCGGCCGGCCTACCTGTGGCACACTATGGAATGAACCAGTTGTATGTAACCAATTCACAAATGCCGCGAATCACCGGTAAGAAGGAAGACGTCGATGGTTTTCAGATCTTCCTGACACGTGGCGCTCGTCATAACGCCGCCGAGCCGCAGCAAGATTACCGTCACAAGCACCGCCACACATTATCATCTCGTAATATTAGGCATTTGAGTACGAATTCATTGCACTGACCGCACACAAACATAATACACAGGTAAACAGAACGAGAATGAAAAACAAACCAAAAGTCCCGAAAGAACGAAAACGTAAGTTGACCTTCTAAATTCTGAAAACTCACAAGTACGCCGATGAAAGTCACGGACGCGACTGACGCGATGACCAAAACTACATAGGTTATTATTATTGCAACTCGAACACCAATGTACCTAAATCAAAAGTGCACCGATTTTGGGGTTCCGCGTCATCAAATTCTGTGTTACGTAACCTACCTAACAAAAAATCGTTATTTTTTTATTGAATTAAACAATGAAATTTCAAAGTAACTTATCATACTATTTTTTACTGACGAAATTGATAATTAGGCTGTTTACTTATTATTACAATTTTATTTACGCTTTTCACGGTTACAAAAGAAAAAAAGGCCATAATATTAAAAGTGGTTACCTAATTTAAGACCAAGTCATTAACAAAATTATAAGGCATAAAAAATTATTGATTAAATTAGAAAAGAAAAGAAATATTATTTATTATTAGACCTTTCCATTACAACTAACCTTTATTTAATTATCATTTAAACTAAGAATAAGCGAGATACTTAGATTATTAATATCATTGTATAAGTCCGTATTTTATTGTTTCGTGAAAATAACACGGCTTTATGAAAAAAATAACAAAACTTCAAAGCTATTAATCTACAGAACCTTACTGACACATCAGAAACCCGAGTTTCTCAATACACATCGTCGTCGATTTTATGTCTCTGTCGCTCCTTCTTGCATAGACTAATGTGAGCAATGGTGCAGATATTGAACTTCAATCAAAGTATTTGCAATTTCTTTTTTATTTTGACTGTATTATTACAGAAGTTTTCATATTAATAGTTTTTGAAACACCGTTAATCACAAGATTAGTGTTTTTTTATAGTTAAAAGTCATTTACTACTAACTTTTTCTTTGTTTGGAAATAATAAATTCCTCTCAGATGCATATTTATTCTAGGCATTTATCTTTAGATTTATTTAACTTCTGTTATTTTTTAAACTAGTTCGGCACATGGAGTCGATGACCAAATACAACACAACAGCTGTTTTTAGGGTTGTCAGCGTACAGTTTTACTTCGAAGAAAAAAAGCTGAATATCTAGGTCATGTGCTGGGTTTCAGTCTTAGTGATCATTTTTCTGGGTTCTATTCATCATACCGTATGTGCCATATTCGGGATTATACAGGTATTACCAAACACGCTGTATACTCAAATACCAATTTTCATCGCTATGCAATAAAACATTTTTTTAAATAATATAAGGTAAATTTATTTCAATGACAAATCAGATTGTAAACAATGGTTGCTATGGTAACATTTTGGTTCCCCATAAAGTCTTTCACAGCTATTTTTATCCCTTTAAGTGCTAGCTTTCGAGATAAAATATAACTTATTACCTTCCTAGGGTTATAAAATAATATAAACAAAGAAGTTTCATACAAACTTTTTCACCCTTTTTGACCCCCTTCGGGATGGAATTTCCAAAAATCCGTTCTTAGTACACCTCTACGTATTAACGGGAATGTTCCCTCCGAATTTCAAGTTTCTACGACCAGCGGTTTAGGCTGTGCGTTGTCTGTCAATCAGTAAGTCAGGACATCTCCTTATATATATGTATATAGATGATTAAATAATTCCATTTTCGAAATTAATAAAATATACTTATAATAGGATCGTCTTTAGTTTCCTCCAAGTGTATGCTCTAAGCTTAAGTCATTTGTTATTTCGCAACGTACGTAGGTGTATTATAAACGAGCAACATCTAGAAATGGCTAAACCCTATCTCTTAACACGGCAGCCACTGGCTCTAGGGTCTAATGCTAATGCATCTTTACTGGTATTACACTAAGGTTACTCAAATTGCACAGTTTTCATCCTTGAAACTCGTATTTTTAAATAAATAAATGTAAAATAAAAGTAAGACGCTCAGGTCTCAAATAAAAAAGCTAATGTATTTTTACTATGGAAATCAGAGACAACAAGGGCCCTACAACACTTACACTGACAATATATAAAGTTCAATTTCTATTGAGTCATAAGTCGGTCGATATACCGAATGCGGGGACTACCTTAATTGACTAATGAAACTCCAACAGTCAAAAACGCATAGAAAAGGGTGTTCCTGTTAAATAAACGCGTCACAAAAATATCTAGCACCTAGTATACGAGTACTATATACATACATGTGAAAATATCGCCCCGAATGCTGGCGCTATGGCATGCGTTACAAAATTCCCGCAACTTCTCAATAAAGCTTAGAACCGAAGGTGTTGTATTCAGTGTTTTATGCGCTCTTT